GGGGGGGACACAGGGATATGGGAACAGGGGACATCAGGGGCATGGGTGACACCCCAGGGACACAGGGATGGGAGAGTAGCTGAGTGGCCCCAAGACCCCCTCTGAGGAGACCCCCGTGGGGGGTGCTGGGGGGCTCACCTGAGGCTCCTCATCTCCTCCTCCAGGTTGTAACCCTTGAGCAGGTTGAACTTTTCCAGCTGTGTCTTCTCCGTGAAGGAGAGCTCGGAAATCTGCTTCAGGTACCTGGGGACGGGTGACATCGGGGGACAGTCACACCTGGGGGCTGTGACCTGCCCAAAGACCCCCCTGCCCACCCCAGGGCCCCCTCAGTTCCCTGTCCCATGGGACTCGTGGGAAGCAGCCAGAACAACCCAGTGCTCTGGACCTGGTGGGATTTGGAGGCTGCCCCTTCCCACCCCCTGGTCCTGGTGGGATTTGGGAACCCCCCTCCCTGCTCCATGGTCCTGGTGGGATTTGGGGCCTCCCCTCACTAGTCCCTGGGGTCTGTGGGATTTAGGGCTCCCTCCTCCCACTCCCTGGTCTTGGTGGGATTCGGGGCTCCCACTCTCCACTCCCTGGTCCCAGTGGGATTTGGAAACCCCCCTCCTTGCTCCATGGTCCCAGTAGGATTTGGGGCCTCCCCTCACTACTCCCTGGGGTCTGTGGGATTTAGGGCTCCCTCTTACCACCCCCTGGTCCTCGTGGGAGATTTGGGGCTCCCCCTCTCCACTCCCTGGTCCCAGTGGGATTTGGGGCTTCCCCTCCGCACTCCCTGGTCCCAGTGGGATTTAGGGGTCTCTCCCTCATATTCCCCCATGGTCCCGGTGGGATTTGGGGCCCCCTCCACCCTTCACCACCCCACGGTCCTGGTGGGATTTGAGGGTCACCCCTCACACTCCATGATCTCGTTGGGATTTTGGGGGCCCCGCCCTCACTTTTCCATGGTCCCAAAAAGCCACTTGGGCTCCTTGTTGAAGGGCATCACCATCCCGTGGAACCGGGACATCTTCACCGCGATCTCCCCGGACACGTCGGGGTCCCGCAGGTCCTCGGTGCGCAGCCGCCGGCTCTGGGGGGACGGGGTGGTGGGTCAGGGGTCTGCCCGGCCCGGGGGGAGACACAGAGCCCTCCGGGGTGGGCTGAGGGGGGGAGTCAGGCCCCCTGATCCTACCGGGATGTACTGCTCCAGCCGGCCCTGCGGGAACACCCCGTAGAGCCGCGGGCCCAGCGCACGCTCGGCCAGGATGGCGAACATGACACTCTCCAGCACCAGCGAGTCCACGCCCTGAGGGACCCCTGAGATGAACCCCAGAGCCCACACCAGCACCCCACACCCTGTGGGACCCCCCAGCTGGACCCCAGACCTCAGACCCCACACCAGCACCCCACCCCCTGTGGGACCCCACGAGCTGAACCCCAGACCCTACACCAGCACCCCACACCCAGCAGAACCCCCAGAACTCAACCCCAGAGACCCCACACCAGCACCCCACACCCTGTGGGACACCTGAGCTGAACTCCACACCAGTACCCCACACCCTGCGGGACCCCCAAGCTGGACCCCAGACCCCACACCAGCACCCACATCCAGCACCCCACACCCAGCAGGACCCCCAGAACTGAACCCCAGAGCCCCCACCCAGCACTTCACACCCTGTGGGACCCCCTGAGCTGAACCCCAGAGACCCCATACCCAGCAGGACCCCCAGAGCTGAACCCCAGAGCCCCCACACCAGCACCCCACACCCTGTGGGACACTCGAGCTGAATCTGAGACCCCACGCCCAGCAGGACCCCTGAGATGAATTCCTAGAGCCCCCACCCAGCACCTCCCATCCAGCACCCCACACCCAGCAGGACCCCAGAGCCCCCACCCAGCACTTCACACCCTGTGGGACCCCCCAAGCTGAACCCCAGAGACCTCACCCCAGCAGCCTGCAGGACCCCTGGAGCTGAACCCCTAGAGCTGAACCTTGGCACCCCCACACCCCACAGAGCCCCGGTACCGCCACCCCAGAACCCCCACCCTGGCACCCCCCACCCTGTGAGCCCCCACAGAGCCCAGGGACCCCCACCCCAGCCCCCTCATCTTGGCACACCCATCCTGGCAACTCCCACCCCATAAGCTCCCACAGAGCTCCGGTACCCCCCACCGGCACCCCCCACCCCATGAGCCCCCACATGAGCCATGGCACCCCCACATCCCCACCCCCTCCAGAGCCACGGCATCCCTACCTCGGCACCATCAATCCCTTAAGCCCCCACAGAGCCACAGTACCCCTACACCAGTAACCCCAAAAACCCAGCATCCCACCCCTGCAGGGCCCCCGGGGCTGAACCGTGGCACCCCCACATCGACAGCCCCAGCAACTGCTCCCCGTGAGCCCCCCCAGAGCCACAGCACCCCCACCCCGGCACCCCCACCCCCTGAACTGAACCCCGGCACCCCCACCCTGGTACCCCCTCACCCCGTGAGCCCCCCCAGAGCCAAGGCACCCCGACCCCGGCACCCCCAGAGCCCCTCCCTCAATTCTGAGCCCCCTCACCCTCATCCCAACACAGCCCCGACCCCGCCGCCGCCCCGGGGCTGCCCAGGGGGGTTCCCAGGGAATGGGGGGGTCCCCCGGGAATGGGGGGGTCTCCCCCGGGCCCCCCTCACCTGCAGGATGACCCCGTAGACTCGCAGCAGCACCTGCCGGGGCTCGTCCCCCACGCTCAGGATGTGCTCGGGCAGCATGCACTTGTACAGCAGGTTACTGAGCCCCCCGCTGCGGGACCGGGGGGTCGGAGGGGTCAGGGGGGCACCGGGGGGCACCAGGAATGGGGGGGGGGGGGGGCCGCGGGGAACGCGGGGTAATCGGGGCGGGGCAGGGACCCCCACGCTCGGATGTGCTCGGGCATCACACACACGTACAGGAGGTTACTGAGCCCCCGTTATGGGATGGGAGGGTCAGGGGGGCACCGGGGGGCACGGGGAACGGGGGGGGGGGGGGGGGGCGGGGGGGGGGGGCCAACTGGGAGACCCCGAGAAGGGAACCGGGGACCAGTCA